AATGAAAAGTAAAACCAAAGAGCTATATTATTATAATTATAACATCATTGCACAATAAGATCAATCATATTATCACGCTATTGTACGGTAAAATTAATTTTATATTGCTATTCATTCACGTAGTGACGGCGAAGAATTAATAACTTATGCCAGCGATTCCAATCCGAATCGGCTTCTTTATCAAATTCGATTATCAAGCGTTTTTCTAACACTTTGCATTGTTGGTAGGAATTTCGCAATCAATACCGTACACTTTTCTTTGAATCTTCTGTTCCCTAGCCTTCTGATGTCGGAGTTAACAAGCATCTCCATTTCGGACTTAACTTTTTAAAGTTAGCTGATTCGTGAATATTCCACAATTTGGTGCTTCTTCTTGTCCCTGAACGGCCAATTGAGCTGACCTGTAGATCTCTTAATTCATCCCTCAGGGACATTTTGGATATTTTTATCATATCAATCATATGCAACATAGTTTCTTAAACTTTCTTGGCTCACTTAGGAGTACGATCTTGTGTTTTCAGAATTAGCAATGTCTATTCGCAGATTTCTTTGGAGCTTGGACTGGTGGACAATAATGTACGTCTACTTTGGGAAACTTTAAGCCATAATTCATGTTACGTTGGATCATTTATACCAATTAATAATCGGAAAATGGCATATATACACCATGTATGCTTGCATGCACTCTATGTCCATTGCAGTTTCTTTTTACACAACTTGCGTCCTGATTCACTATCTAATTATTGATATTTGATCGCTCTCATTTATTCTCCAGTTTTGGATCATAGATTCCGATACGTTTACTTTGTATATCTATCGAATGCTATATTAACACTTTCTAGGGCCTTAAATCCCTAATGTATCTTATCTCGTTCAAGTTTCATCAAAACCTTTTGTTCTCAGCGTTTGATAAATTTAAGAAGTCAAAGGTTTACACATATTAGTATCAAGGAGACGAACGTCATTAATTGCTTGTTAGAATAAAGATATTCCAATTAAGTCATTTTAAAAGTTAATTGTAATACGCTTTAAAAATTAAAAATAATTAATAATAATTAATTTGTTTAAATCTAAATTTTAGAATATTAATTATTATCACTAATCTCATATTTAATTATTTTATCTCATGTAATATCCTATTCATCTCGTATTCATACGGAGAGAACACTTCCACCGAATATAAACTTGGGAATCTAATTTTATTTGATTTCTATAGAGATCACGCATAATGAGCAACACAGTAAAAGATTTTGATATTCTAACAATCAGTTCGAGCGTCCTACAAAATTATTTTATTCGAAAAAAAGTACCACTGTAATAAAAATGTACTTTTAAGAAGTTACTTTTATCCCTCGAACTTCTGGAATATTCTATCACTCATAACTAACAATATACTCCCAAACAACTAACAATATACAATTATTTGTGGTAAATTCGTTGAATCGACTTTAATAAATTCTGAATCCAGTTGGTTTTTCGGTATTTTATTTTAATATTTTTAATTTATAAAGAGATTTTTAAGAAGAAAATTTTTAAGATTTCGCTTTAATCTTCCAGCGTAAGCAGATGGCTTACTGCAGTGACGCACTTTTGTTAGCCAATCAAAATTGTTTTTTTCAAATTTCAAATATAATTAAACTTTATTTTAGTTTTTTAGTACCTACCTATTGTTAAAAATTACAATTTTATTATACATAAATATAATAATGCATATAATTATAATAATGCATACTTCCATAATAAATAAAAAAAATATATTATTTTTTTCATACAAACTCCCTATTACGATGGCAGATATTTGGCGTTTTAGAAATTAATCTCGATTGCAAAAATTGGGAAATGGTTGAGAACTTTTTGAGTTTAATTTAGTTTTCACTTTAAAACGGTTCGTTGCGCTAACCCACACGAATTTTATCGGTTTTATTAAATAATATATTTTTTATGCATATGATAATATATTTTATGCATATTACACGTATTAATAATATATTTTTTATACATATTACACGCATACGCATAAAATATTATATATTATTTAATTAAACTGATGAAACTTGTCGTTTAATTACACGTTTCGACCTACATTGTATCATTCTCAATATTTACCAAATATATTTACCAAATTAAAAAATATATCTATAACGATTATTAAAATCGGTACGTAGTATAAGTGTAAAAAAATTGTGGGTTTTCTAATTTTCGCAATCGAGATATTAATTTTTTTCCGCGAACCTTCATGTCATGACTTGACCAGCACGCCTGCCAAGTTATTCCTCGCAACCGCGTACCAAGCCATCAATGGGCGTTCGCTTTAGTATTAGTAGGCCGAATGGACGCGCTTATTCCGCTATCTTTAACGATCAGATCTCGTTAACTATTGCGAGCATTGCAAAATAGTAAAGAACTTTTCGACTTAGTTTAATCCGCTCTATTTACACAAAAGCAATTGGCAAAAACTTTCGGAACATATCCTGTATTGAGTACGATGAGTTATTTTTTTATATTACATTTTATCATTCGCTTATATATATATATTTTATATATGTATGTACATATAATATAATCAGGGTTGGAAGTTACTTTATAAGTTACTTATGTATTTGAGTACAAAGGTTATACGAAACTGAAGCAAATAATAAAATGTAATATAAAAAATAATGTATTATACTCAATTTCTATAATAAATGCATATAAAGTAACTTTAAAAAGTAACTTATAAATAATTTGTATACTTGTTAACAATTCTGATGGACTAGTGGGCATGAACGTGTGCATGAGCATATCCTTGTTTTTATATCATGAATTGAATCTGAGCGCGGAAGACGTTCAGACATTAGTCAGTTAATATTAGTACTTCGTAGAGTAATCTTGTATCGTGAACCGCAAAGAGACGCGAACTATTAGCCTTTGTAACATGTACTATTGTAAAACTTTATTATGTTACATGAAGACCTTGATTCGTGATCCTGACTCTACAACTCGTTACCTAAATATGAAAGACCAGACCCCTATTAATTTGGACTCCTCACCATCGCAAGTCGAATTGGGAAAAAATTTAGAGCTATTTTTGTTAATTTATTGCTCTAAAACAAATTTAGTTGTTCCAACTGTCTAGCAGAAAAGAAAAATAAAATGGGTAGGTTAATAGCAAGTTAGAAATCCTATAATAAAAATAATATACAGAGTGTTTGGAAATTAGTGATAAGTCTTTTGCACAGGGGCAGAATGGACTAAACTGAGAAGAAAAGTCCTCTACCATTTTACAATTGTTGCAATGGTTAACGAGTTATTAATTTATGAAAATTATTAACGACAATTGTAAAATGGTAGAGGACTTTTTTTCTCAGTTTAGTCCATTCTGCCTCCGTGCAAAAGACTTATCACTAATTTCCTAACGCTCTGTATAGATGTGCAATATTAAAAAAAAAGTATACCAGATTTTGTTGTTTTTGTTGCTCTAGGATAATGCAAACTGTGACTTGAACTGTTCTTTCTTGATATAAATCGTACTTAGTATGCGTTTCGACATAGACTGGTCTTCACGCCTCATGCGAAAATGATCACTTTTCATTTATTTCTTGACATAGACCTTTCTTCATGTTTTTTTTATTTTTTATTTTTTTATAGCACCTTCTACAACTCAGGCGTCAATTAAAGCAACTATAACTTTTATGATCAAAACAAATGTATATGTATATGTATATACAGTACCCTCCAAGTTTGGGAACACCCTACGTTTTACAAAAAAAGCCATTATATAATAGCGATCTGTACATGTTTTTAGTTTAAATGCTTCGTAAGACGTCTAAATGACAATAAACATTTATCTAGAACATCTATAAGCTTCTTCTAGAACATCTACATGTCGAAAATATGTTGGACAATCATTTCACAGCATCGAAGCGCTCAAAATTGAATTTCACGCTTTGGTCTATTATTTATATGTACATTATTACTTGTTTTGCAATGTTGTACTTGTGTTCGTTGTATATACACAGGTTATTTAATTGTAGTTTAATGGTTTCTATAAAAGTAGTAAATTGTGTTTGAGTCGTAAATTGATTTCTCCGTAAAAATTGTAAATGATCCTGAAAAATCAAATTCGTATGAATCGCATTTTAATCAAAATTCTATATTTTGATAGCATGTTATTAAATCTTTAATTGAAAAAAGACGAAATAAAAGTACATACATACGTTCATTATAAGATAACATATGTATGTACTTTTATTTCTTTAATTATATAATCTTTCTTTAATTATATAATTATTTACAAACATGTAAAACATAGGATGTTTCCAAGCTTATGGAGGGTACTGTAGTTGGCACCAAAAATGACTTACAATTAAATCATACATATGCAGGTAATTTCAACCAAATTATTTTTTTTAAGTGTGCTCATTTAATTATGTATTTTTAGGTTGTATTTATAAATATTTTGCTGAAAATATTTGAAAAATTCGATAAAATCATTGCAATCATGTTATCAAACATGTTATTTCAAAAATTTCGACAATGGAAATTAGATATTGAATCTTTTATGATTTCTTATAGCATTATAGCACAAGTTTCTTTTTTATTCTACATATTAACTGATGCAAAATTTTTAATCACAATTTAAAAAAATTAACCTTGTTATCAATTAGAATTAAAATTATATAAGTTCTTCAAACAAGTGCAAAATTTATCTAAAAAACAATCAATCCCATGCCTCTTTTCCATATATATATATATATATACATACCTAAAGAATAATGACATAAAATTGTTTTCTAACGTATAAAATTTCCCCAAAAGTTTCCAATAGCATTTTGTAGAATAAAAGCCAAATAAAAATATCACTTTTCAATAATATTAAAAAATTTTAAATATTAAAATTTATGATATAAATATTTAAAAGACTCAAAATTTGAAATGCTTACAATTAGTTTCATAAAGTTAATAATAATTATGCCCATTATTGTAAAATTTCATAATATTCCGTCATTGACTGCATTTACCTTGAACGGTGGCAGAGAAAGGTGAAGCTGGATGATCGTTATTAACTAATTCTGCAGCGCTGGTGGTAATGGTGCTATAATGATCAGTTTTAGATTCTGTTTTAAGTCCTCGATGAAGATCCAAATCCCAAAGTTGAAGATCTTCTTCACGAACTGACGCACCCGAATCTGCTTGAAAGCTTGATGAAAACGTATCGCTACTCGACACTTCTGGACTAGATTCTTGAAGATTTTCAATATACTTGTTGCTCCACCTTCTCCGTATTCCCGCGACAGGTATCCGTGGCATTGTCTGCACCATTCACCACCACTTTTTAACTTTTTCTCTAGATACAGTATTTTTGTATTGTCGCTGTTTTTATGACCACACACAATCAAGAATCGTCCTCAATAATCCACGTGAGATTCATAAAGTAATCATAGATAAATATGATCGATTGTACATGAAAAGTCAATGAAGATTTTTTCTTCATGTCCTTCATTAATTGATGAAAGCACAAAATCACAATTTTTTATGCAATATTCTGAGAAGAAAAGAATCGAGATCAACACTGAAAGTTGATTTTACATCCATTTTTCTTTCCACATGTGATGCATTTTTGTATTCCATTTCTCATAAGGGCAAGAATAAGTTAAGCACATTTATACGTATTATGTGTGTGTGTGTGTGTGTGTGTGTGTGTGTGTGTGTGTGTATGTGTGTGTGGCGCGCGCGTAGTGTATGCGCACACAGAATGGTCCACCTAAAATACCGAAATATATCAAAAACAAAACCCAAATATAGGGCAAAATATTTCAAAAATTGTATGTAAAGGAAGATAATGACAAAATCAATTTTCAAAAAAATTGATTTTTCAAAGTCACTTTTTTTATATATATACACACACACACACACACACACATACATACATATAATTATAATTGTTCTAAATATAAAATTAAGGTAAAGGTAATATTAATAATTTTTGAGTTCTTTTATTCATACACATTGACATAAAAAATTAAATATCTCATAAACTATTTATTCTTTTTTATAATCATATCTAATACTTTCATACACAGTATAAGATAAATTATTAGGTGTTGGAATTAATTCGTAGCGTTTTTAATGAAAGAATGTTATTTATTTCACATGAGCATTAAAAAATACATTAATGAAAGTACTTCCCACTTGTAAAACGCTACGAATTAATTCCAACACCTAATACTTGGTGCAAAGAAAATATATAGTTGCTTAAAGAAAATATGTAATTGCATAATGCAACCTCGCAAAATATATATTTTTTTAAGCAACTATGTGTTTACATCGACTAATTCATCTCATTATTCCATGCAAAGAAATATTAAGATACAGTTACTAAAAATTAAATAATTCATGAGGTATTTAATTTTTTATATCAATGCTAAGATATTGTACTATATATGCAAAGTAATTCAAAATTATTTGATTTTTCGATACCCTAATACAGAATTTATATACAGAATAATCAAAGGAATCATATTATGTAAAAAAAAATTAGATAATATTTACAATATGGTCTTTTCCAAATTTTGTGTTTTTTTTCTTGCAATCTTAATAAAATAATTTTTATTATGACTTTAACAATGATAATCAACCATCATTCATTCAATCACCATTCATTGCATCATTGTGGTTTAACTTATTATCGAAATTATTAAATCTTTGCCTTAATAAATAGATAAATTTACAATATACTAAAAGTAATGGAAACTGAAAAGATTAGAAAAACCCTTACACAAGGCAGAGCGTGTACTAAATATTTTTTATTATTTATTATTCTGTGCCTTAATTACATAAATTCTCTCCTTTAAAATACAAATTCTTTGTTTTAAAAACACAAAAATTATATTATATATCAGAAAATAATTTGTGTTTTAAGCGAAGATTATATAAGATTTATATAGGACACATACGAATGTATTATATTAATCATATTTAGAACTAAAATCGGCTCTTTCAAAAATCATATACAAGATGTGATATCAAAAATCTGGAAACGGTCGAATATCTCAAAAGCAAAGCATTTTTGAGAAAATTCTTTTCTTTTCCAACAAAAGTTGTAGGATTTAAAAAGAACCTCATCCGTTTGACTTTGAGGGGCATCGCCAAGATTAGGTTAGGTTAGGTTAGATTAGGTCAAAGTCAAATCAATTTTTTTGGAATACCTTATTTTTGATACCAGAATCTAACAGCTGATCTCAAGAGCTTTGCAAAACATTATAATAAAGTTATTTTTCATTAAATATTGGGACCTTGAATAAGTTCTCGCTGATTTTCCGTAAAAAGTAATACTTTATTTAAAAAAAGTCGTAACATGTCTGAAAGTATTGTTCATCGCTAGCCACTACTTTTTCCCATCTTTCTGGCAGCATTTGAATTCCATGTCGGAAAAACGACACGTCTTTTGAGACTATCCAAAAGTCGACCCATTTTTTGGCATCATCGTAAGAATGGAAATGCTGCTCAGCCAGCCTATGTGCCATCGATCAGAACAGGTGATAATCGGAAGGGGCAATATCTGTGGTGAATACGGCGGGTGGGATAGATTTCACAACCGGTCAAAACCTACTTGGAAACGTTTCCCATTTAAGCGTTTCCAAGTAGGTTTTCACCGGTTGTGCAACCGTTGTCATGTTGCAAAATCACTTTGTCATGTCTCTGCTCGTATAATGGCCGTTTTTCCTTTAATGCCTGGCTCAAACACATCAATTGTAATCGATAGCGAGCTCGATTACCGTGATGGTAACAGCCGTGATGATTTCGTTCGGTTTGAGCAGCTCATAATAAACTACACCCAGCTGATCCCACCAAATGCAGAGCAGAAGCTTCGAATCATGGATATTCAGCTTTGCCGACAATGTTGATGCATGGCCTTACCCCACGATCTTCTACACTTAGCGTTCATCATAATGTATCTTTTCATCGCCAGTCACGATACAATGCAAAAATCCTTTCCTTTTCTGCCGTTGAAGCAGCTGTTCACACGTGAAAAGACGCCGTTCGATGTCTCTCGGCTTCAACTCGTACGGCAATCAATGTCCTTGCTTTTGAATCATTCCTAATAATTTCAAACGTTTCGTTGTGTGATCAACTCCTAATGATTCTGCAAGTTCAACTAGCGTTTGACATGAGTTTTCATGCAGTAATGCCTCCAATTCTTCATCTTCAAACTTTTTCAGTGCGGCAGAACGTTCTTTATCTTCAACATCAAAATCATTATTTTTGAAGCGTATTTCTAAACCAATCTCTGCATGTTGTTTCCGATAGAGCATGGTCGCCGTGAGTCTCAATAAGAATTCTGTGTGCTTCAGCTGCAGATTTTTTTTGAATAAAGTAGTGCAGTAAAATTCCCCGCAAATACTCTTTTGTTGGTATGAAACTCGACATGTTTAACACTATGAAATAAAAAGTTGTTTACACTTCGGCGAGATGACATACACTGAATTTCAAGCTTGCTTATCGTAGTTCCTTATCGATGCGTTCCCATCTTCAACTACACGTGCAGTTCTTCTGTTAACGCCATTTGTTCGAAAACAGCTTATTCAAGGTCCCAATACTTTTCAAGTTATAAAGCTTGGACATTAGCATTATCAGAAATGTCCAACCGACGGCTAAAACCTTTTAAATATTGTTCAGGATCATGATCACCTGGATAATATTTGTCAAGATCAAGATCACATTAGAGATTGTATCTCTTATTTTCATTTTTAAATAAAAATTAATTTTTAGTGCAAAAATGAAAATAAGAGGTATCATTTTTAATAGCCTTAGCCTTGAACAAATGTTACCCAGGACATGATCCTGAATAACATTCAAGAGGTTTTAGCCGTCGGTTGGACATTTCTGGTAGTGAATGGTGCTAATGTCCAAGCTTTATAACTTAAAAATGGAACCTTGAATAAGTTCTCGCTGTTTTCCAACAGATGGCATTAACAGAAGAACTGCATGCGTGTAGTTGAAGATGGGAACGCATTGGATAATGCTAATGTCGACGGTATTCTAACTTTCAAGCTTTATAGCTAAAAAGTACTTAATGAAAAACAACTTATTGTAGCGTTTTAAAAAACTCTTAACCAGCTATTAGATGTTGAAAACATTTTTCTCAAAAATGCTTTCCTTTCGACCATTTCTAGACTTTTCATACATCCTGTACATTTGTCGGAAAATCCGAAAAGCTGTACTGAACAAAATAATTATAAAAAATAGATATGTTACACATTTTTCGACTCCTCCGGATGATTATCACCGTTAGAGTCGCAACAAACAATTTTATTAAAATTGCAAGAAAAAAATATTAAAATTCGGATAAGGCCTTATTGTAAATAAGTACCAAAATTTAATCATTCTATTTGAAAAAAGTGATCTTGAAAAATCAGTTTTTTCGAGAATTGATTTTATTATTATTTATATCCCTTCAAATCATATAACTTTTGTATAAAATATCTTTGTCTTTTTGTTTTTTAGTTTTCAACATATTTCTGCATCTTGTTTTAGATGAGACACCCTATGTGTATATATGTATGTATGTATGTATATATGTATGTATATATAATTAGGATAATCTATCTTTACTCTTGAAAAAAAATTTTTTTCGAATTCTTTTCGCGGCACCCCTCAAAATGATTTCAATCCACAAAAAAAATAAATCCTCTAAAATTTCAGCTTAATTGGACAACAGGAACCTGTACCGAGAGCTCGTTAAACATTTGAATTTCCCTATATTATATTATCAATATTGTCTTTTAAAGCGTATTTTCCAAAAAAAAACGGCCTAGAAAACTTTTTTTTTAATATGTGTGTCTTGCTTTTCTGCATTATTTGAGATCTTATATGTCTCATTTAATATAATTAGGTGAATTGTTAATGATTAAGAGATAAATATAAATAGTTCAACTCCGGTATATATATGTCGCTGGATAGTCCTTTACTGACATTTGATTTTTTTTTTAGGGTATTATCTAAAATTATTCCAATGTACAATATAGGTAAACTATACTCGTAAAATTTTAAATTAATAGAATAAGAATGGTGCCGACAAATGAGATTCTGTTTGAAAAAATATATTTTTTTTAAATACCTTCATTGATTTTTCATAATTTATATATTGTAAATTACAAAGATAACTAATACAAAACATAACTAATATAAAACAAAACTAATATTAAACTTGTTAATTTAACTATAAAATCAATTTTCTAACTGTAATGATTTCAAATAATGACAGAGTTGAACGGGTAATAAAGCTAATTACCGATCATAGTACTATTGTATCAAAGGATGAGGATTTAAAGCAATTTTTATTAAAAATTAGCGACCATCGTAAACAGTTTCCGAATATTAAAAAAGAAATCATTTTTGAAACCATTGAAGTTGGAAAATTGATTTTACAGCTAAGTTAACATTTTCATATTAGTTATCGTTTAATTTTCCCACAACTACTCTGTTATGCCTTTATGTTATTAGGTGTTGGAATTAATTCGTAGCGTTTTTTAATGAAAGAAT